GTGGAGGTAGAATATGTTTGTTGTGTATGGACGCACCACCAGCAGCGCACCAGCACCAGCACCTGCCCTCTGTGACCAGTGAGTGTGTGAAGTCTGACAAGCGAAAGAATTTCAGAAGTGTTGCAAAAGGAGAGGTGGTTGTGTTATATCCGTATTTACACACAGTCATTGCACAATAGTCAACAGCAAAGAAAGCAGGAAAAAACGTGAACACAAGAGAAAAAGCCGCCGCCCGTGGGGGCTCGAACACACGATCACAAGGTTAAGAGCCTTGCGCTCTACCAACTGAGCTAGGGCGGCTGACAATCACAAACCGAGCTAGGACGCACCAGCAGCACCAGCACCAGCGCCACCACCTGCCCTCTGTGACCAGTGAGTGTTTGAGATCTGACGAGCGAAAGAATTTCAACAGTGTTGCAAAAGGAGAGGTGGTTGGTGTTCATATCCGCGTTACACACGATTATCTAACAATAGTCAACAAAAGAAAGCAGGAAAAAACATGAACACGAGAGGAAAAGCCGCCGCCCGTGGGGCTCGAACCCACGACCACAAGGTTAAGAGCCTTGCGCTCTACCAACTGAGCTAGGGCGGCTGACAATCATAAACCGAGCTAGGACGCACCAGCAGCACCAGCACCAGCACCAGCACCAGCACCAGCACCAGCACCAGCACAGCACCAGCACCAGCACCACACAGCACCAGCACCAGCACCAGCACCAGCACCAGCACCAGCACAGCACCAGCACCAGCACCACACCACACCAGCACCAGCACGCAGCACCAGCACCAGCACCACACCAGCACCGCACCAGCACCAGCCCACAGCACCAGCACACAGCACCAGCACCAGCACCAGCACCAGCACCAGCACCAGCACCAGCACCAGCACCACCCAGCACCAGCACCAGCCCAGCCCAGCACCATCACCAGCACCCGCACCCCAGCACCAGCACCAGCACCAGCACCAGCACCAGCACCACACCAGCACCAGCCCCAGCACCACACCATCACCAGCACACAGCAGCCAGCACCACACCACACCCAGCACCAGCACCAGCACCAGCACCAGCACCATCACCAGCACCAGCACCAGCACCAGCACCACACCAGCACCACCACAGCACCAGCACCAGCGCCACCACCTGCCCTCTGTGACCAGTGAGTGTTTGAGGTCTGACAAGCGAAAAGAATTGTCAACAGTGTTGCAAAAGGAGAGGTGGTTGGTGTACATATCCGCGTTACACACGATTATCTAACAATAGTCAACAAAAGAAAAAAGGAGAAAAAACATAAAAACAAGAGGAAAAGCCGCCGCCCGTGGGGCTCGAACCCACGACCACAAGGTTAAGAGCCTGCGCTCTACCAACTGAGCTAGGGCGGCTGACAGTCATATAAAACCAAGTTTTTAATCATCGTTTTTCTTTTTCTTTCTTCTTTTCCACGTGATTTTTTTTGGCGCGTAAATTTCTTGGGCCCGTAATTTCTTTGACGTGTAAATCTCAACTCAAATACTTTCCTCCCATCCTTCCCCCAATCCGCCCTCAGGTTCTCCCACTCTTGTGAAGCTCTTGGCTCGTCAGACCGAGCCATCCGGGTGTCACTACTGCAGAATCTGGACCTCGTTCGGAGCACAGATAGCCCCCAACGTGGCAGAGGAGCAGGTGTTTCCGCACCTCAGCTCTGGCTTCACTGACACCTCGGCGCTGCTCAGAGAGCTCACACTAAGTCCATGCTGCTGCTCGCCCCAAGGTGCGTATTCTACTTCCAAATGTGCTTCTCTCTACGCGCCCAAGGTGTGGATAGCTATCTCCTACAGATAGCCCCCAGCGTGGCAGAGGAGCAGGTCTTTCCGCACCTCAGCTCAGCTCCGGCTTCCCTGACACCTCGGCGCTGCTCAGAGAGCTCACTCTCAAGTCCATGCTTCTGCTAGCCCCAAGGTACTTCTCTCTTGCATCCAACATGTAGCTAGCCCCTACAGATAGCCCCAAGGTGCTTCTTGCTCCACCCCAAGCTGATCTTGGCTCCCCACCCAAGCTACCGCTCTCCCCTCAACCTCCCTTCCCCTCTCCCTTTCCCCTCTCTCCCCTCCCCCCCCACTCAGCTCTCGCAACGCACTCTCGGAGGGTCGCTGCTCAAGCACCTCTCAAAGCTGCAGGTCCGTTCCATCTCTCTCAATCTCTACGGCTTCTTATAACTGTTCCGCCTGTCTTCCACCACTTCCATTTCTTTCATCCGGTTCCGCCCTTGGCTTCTTCTGCTCCCCGGTCCTCCTACCGCTTGCAAAGAACAAATTATCTGCCGCTGTTCCGTTTAGTATCGATCTGCCTGTCTTCCTCGCTGTGCGTCCATCCCGTCTCTTCCTGCATCCCTTCCTTTTGTCTGACCTTGCTTCCCTTTCTCCCACTGTCTGTGCTTCCCTTCGCCAACTGTCCTTCCATCCATTGCCTCCTCCCAACTGTGACCACTCATGGGCCTTGTGGCCAGGTGGACGAGGAGGCAGCCATCCGCACCAACACCACCATTCTGCTCGGCAACATTGCCAGACACCTCAACGACGCTGTGAGTTGCACCCAGAACGTTTGGTTTGGCCTTCTGAATGACGCTGTGAGTTAGTTTGCAACTCACCTAAGAGAAAGGAAATGACAGCCCATCATCCGCACCAACAGCACAATTCTGCTCGGCAACATCGCCAGGCACCTCAACGACTGTAAGTTACTCTCAAAAACATCTTGAAGGCGCCTCAAACGCAACTTGATGATGTTGTTAGCTGGACTCTATATGTTGCATTCCACACGAGTCAGCCTGGACTCTTCCACATGGACGCTCAAAAATCACCTCACTGCACAAAGTTTGCCTGGACTCTTCCACATGTGGTCAGCTTGGCCCATACACCAAATCACTTTCCTCGCTCTCTGTCCCTTCCCTTCCCCCCGGCATTCTCCACTTCGCCACCCCCTCTCGCACCCACACTCACTGCTCCTCCCTGTGGCGCCCACAGACGCCGCGAGCGAGTGCTCATCAAATGCCTTCACTGCACGCGTTGTGTATATATTTTTACACATCCCGCTCTTCTCTACCCCACCACCCCCCTGACATACAATCTCACTTTCCTCCCTGTGGCGCCCACAGACGCGCAAGCGAGTGCTCATCAATGCCTTCACTGTTCGCGCTCTAAGGGACGCCTTCCCCCTGCCAGAGCGGCAGGTACGACCTCCCCCTTCCAAGGCTGCAGGTACGACCTCCCCCTTCCAAGGCTGCAGGTACGACCTCCCTCTGCCAGAGCTGCAGGTACGACCTCCCCCTTCCAAGGCTGCAGGTACGACCTCCCTCTGCCAGAGCTGCAGGTACGACCTCCCCCTGCCAGGGCTGCAGATACAACCCCCTCTTTCCATGGCTGCGAGGTGCAACAGACATCATTAGCTAAAAACGCAGGAATCTGAATCTGCTGCAAATTACTGTTGTTGATGTTTCGCTTTCATCATACTGACTTATGGATATCCAGAGCTCGCACTGCCCCCAAAATCTCAGATTCCTCCATGCCCCCAGCTGCACATCATCCCTCTCCCCCCCCCCAAATTCACACCCCCCTGTGCAGGCATCATGGCGCTGTCAGCCACACGAGAGTACTACGATGCCACTGAGATCGCCCACCACACCTAACCCCACCGCATCCCCCTCACATCTACCGCAACCCCTTCACATCCTCTGTGCAGGCATAATGGCACTGTCAGCCACACGGGAATACTACGATGCCACTGAGATCGCCACCCGCATTCTGCCTGCTCTGGTGGTGCTCACTGTAGATGCCGACACGTGAGTCCACTTTATGAGTTGTGAGGCGCCTCAAAGTGTGCTTTATGAGTCGACTTATAAGTCATTCTGCCTGCCCAGGTGGTGCTCACTGTAGATGCCGACACGTGAGTCCACTTTATGAGTTGTGAGAGGCGCCTCAAAGTGTGCTTTATGAGTCGACTTATAAGTCATTCTGCCTGCCCAGGTGGTGCTCACTGTAGATGCCGACACGTGAGTCCACTTTATGAGTTGTGAGGCGCCTCAAAGTGTGCTTTATGAGTCGACTTATAAGTCATTCTGCCTGCCCTGGTGGTGCTCACAGTAGATGCCGAACACGTGAGTCCACTTTCCTGCGAATGATGTGCGCGTTGGCTTTCCACCCCTTTACTTTCTCCATCATTTCACCCCACCACCACCCCCCGCCCCCACCTCTCACCCCCTTGCCAGTGATGTGCACACCAAGGCAGTCCAGGCCGCCTTCTCGTTCCTTCTGAGCCGCCTTCTCCAGGCTTCCAAAGTCATCATTTCACCCCACCACCCCCCCTCCCACCCCACCACCTCATTTCTTCTGAGGCGCCTCACCCCTTCACGTGTCCATCATTTCACCGCAAACCCCCCCTTTCCCCCCCCCCCCCCCACCTCTCACCCCCTTGCCAGTGATGTGCACACCAGGGCAGTCCAGGCCGCCTTCTCGTTCCTCCAGTCTGTCTCTGATTTCCACGCTAAGGTGATCACCCCACGGCAAACCCACCCTTCTCCGTCACACACACCCTCCTTCTCCTCTCCTATTGTATTCGCATGCGCTGTCAACCAAGTGTGAACCTTCAAGCCTCTCATTTCCCCTTCTTTGTCGCTCTGCGTTTCCCCCTTTCAACTATGTGTGGTTTCCATGTTCTTACTCCGAAGAATTTGATGCTCATGCACTCGTCACCATCCTTCCTCCCTTCCACTCCCCTCCTCCTTCATCCTGTTCCCACTGCTCCCTCTTCTGTCTGATACCGCTGCTTCTAACCTCTACTTTCCAGTGGCAGCTGGAAGGGCACACAGCTGGACATCAAGCCCAGAGGCCAGCAGCTGCTGCTGCTCCTGCTGCTCCCATCTCTCACTTCCTACCCTCTTCCCACTTTTCCCCTCCGCTTCGATTGCTCTCTCCATTCCAATGGCAGCTGGAAGGGCACTCGGTTGGACATCAAGCCCAGGGAGCAGCAGCCGCAGCCCCTGCTGCTGCTCCTGCTGCTGCCGGCTCGTCTGGGGGGCTGTTGGGGTGAGCTCACAATTCTGCTGCATGTGTTGAATTTGAGATGTCTTTTGGCGGGCTGTTCAAGTACGCATGTTTCTCTCCCTTTCACTCCCATCTCCTCTCATCTTCTCTCATGCTTCTGCTCCTCATATCTTCCCTCCCTCCCGCGCCCCCTCCATCCTCCCCAAATCAGCTGGGATGTCAGCTCACTCACCTCAGCGGGCTGTCAGCATTCGTGTTCATCTCCATTCCCAAGGCGGGCCAGGAACAGCAGTGTTCCCAAGGCTGGCCACTCCCACCATTCGTGTGCATGTCTTATCATCCCTCTAAACCCCTCCGTTCTCCCTCCCATACCCCCGCCTACTCAACTCCAGGTGGGCGGTCAGCTCGCTCACCTCAGCAGGGCCCAAGGCAGGCCCCACTGCACCAGCTGCCGGGGCTGCTGCTGCTGTCTCAGCAGGAGATTCCGCCACTGCCACGTCTGCTGCTGCCGCTGGTGCGTTGCCTTTCTCAAGCTTGCAGCATGCCTCTTGCCAGCTTATCACTTGTTTCTTTCGCCTTCTCTTCATCCTCTTTTCTTGTGAACAAACCGTTCCCTCCTCCTTCCTGTTTTTCACCTCACCTCACCTCACCACCCCACACACCACAGCAGCATCAGAGCCTGAGGGCAACGGGTGGGGAGAAATCGAGGAAGAGGAGGAGGAAGAGCAGCCGAAACCAAAGCCCTCAGTTCACCGACCAGCCCCTGCCAGACCCACCGCCCCCGCCAGACCCACCGCCCCCTCCTCTCACACCTTCTCCAAGCCTGCCCCAGCCGCACCTTCCCCAGCTGAACCCGAAGCAGAGGAGGACGAGGAGGAGGATGGGGACGGGTGGGGCGATCTGGATGATGGGGAGGAGAGTTCTGCGTCTAAGGGTGCTGCTGCTGCTTCTGCCGCCGCTGCTGCTGCTGCTTCTGCCGCCACTGCTGCTGCTGCAGCCTCTCTCTCTCGCATGCAAGCAGCCCAGCAACGACCGGTGGTGCATCACACTCCTGCTGCTGCTCCTGCTGCTACCCCTGCAGCAGCAACAGCTCCCACTGCGTCGCCTCAAAAAGCAGCACCAGTGCGGCCAGCAGCGGTGAGATTAGGTGGAGGAGCAGCGGCAGGGAAGGCCGGTGGGTCCCTGGGTGTGACAAGAGGGAAACCGGCACCAGCAGCAGCCTCGTCTGCTGCCTCACACTCAACCAGTAAGGATGAGGATCCCTGGGCCGCCATCGCTGCTCCTGCTCCTGTCAGCTCGGCCAAGCCTCTGCGCGCCGGAGCTGGCACATCTGGCTCGGCAGTTAGCAGAGGTTCGGCAGCAAGCCGAGGCGGAGCTGGTGGTACGGCAAGTGGGCATGTGAAGCTGCCAGCAGGGGCGAATATGGATCTAGAGAGAATGCTTGGGGATGACAGTGGGGGGAAGAAGCCCACTGGCATGAGGCTAGGAGCACAGAGAATCAGCCGATAGTCCATGCATTTCTTTTGTGGAGGTTTAGAAACAGATGCCCACATTTTCAGCACATGGAACAGAGGACAATCATGGGCGCTAGGCTTGAACACCTTTTGGATCTTACCCGTACTATATAAAGTTATCAACTTGTCCCTCTAAGCATATGGAGCCCTACATACATTGTAATGTGCAGATTGAACTGGTATGGCCATGACCGTCCGGGGATGTGATCTGGTGCTATTGGCTGTAAGTGTGGGTATGGTGCAGTAGGGCATGTTTCAGCAGCTTTTAGGCAAGCCACTTACCGTAGTTTTAGAATAGGGCCTCAGCAGGGGTTGAGTTGAGGGATCTGCCTACAGACCTAGTGACAGCACAAATGCATCAGGGCTTCTGTGGACCTTTGTGTGAGAAGACCCGAGCACAGGCAGACATAAAACTAAGACATGAGCACAGGCACACACAAAAATAAGACATGAGCACAGGCACACATAAAAATAAGGCATGAGCACAGGCACACATAAAAATAAGACATGAGCACAGGCACACATAAAAAATAAGACATGAGCACAGGCACACATAAAAATAAGGCATGAGCACAGGCACACATAAAATTAAGACATGAGCACAGGCACACATAAAAATTGTTGAGAATATGTTTGTATGCTTTTATTACAAGTGCACTGTTCGAAGTGTGTTTACAGGGGCTCGCCATAGCGAGGGATTTGAACCTGGTGGCGAGCCAACGGGCCGCAACCGAACACAGCGGTTGCGACCCGCGTGGCAGCTCAAGAGTCGAATCGACAGCAGGAGTCATCGTCTACAGTACGCGAAACTGACCTGCGGGGCGCGGTCGGATACCGCGCCCTTGCCGAAGCTGAAAAGTCTCGCCAGCGCAACTGTAACAAGGCAACCCAAGCGACGCAGCGCAACTGTTATACAGTTGCGCCTTGGTAACTGTTTGTCAAATATTATAGCCTGTAGTGGGTTGGGCTATATGGGGTACAACTAGTTAGGGTTAGGTGATGTACCCCAATCCTGTCAACACAACGCATTCCGTCGTAGTTCTCATTCTGACATGGTATCAGCAGTAGGTTAGCGCTCCTAGTCCTAGGCCCGCCCTTCCCTACCACTAGGGTTACCACTACACCCTGCCAGCCCGCCAGCGCCCTACCCCACGCCCCAGCCGGCGCGCCCCTCCCCTCCCCGCCCTTAGCCAGGGCGCCCGCCAGCCAGCCAGCGCGCCAGCAGCCTGCGCGCCAACCAGCCAGCCAGCGCGCCAGCCAGCCAGCGAGCCAGCAGCCTGCGCGCCAGCCAGCCAACGCGCCAGCCCGCCAGCGCGCCAGCCAGCCAGCGCGCCAGCCCGCCAGCGCGCCAGCCAGCCAGCGCGCCAGCGCGCCAGCCAGCCAGCGCGCCAGCGCGCCAGCCAGCCTGCGCGCCAGCCCGCTTGCACGCCAGCCCGCCAGCGCGCCCGCCAGCGAGCTCGCCAGCGCGCCCGCCAGCACGCACGCCAGCGCGCCCGCTAGCGCGCCCGCCAGCGCGCCACGCCAGCGGGCCCCGCCAGCGCGCACGCCAGCGCGCCGCGCCCGCGCGCCACGCCAGCCAGCGCGCCGCGCCGGAGCGCGCCCCGCCAGCGCGCGCCTCGCCGCCCCGCGCCCAGCCAGTGCGCGCCCCGCCTGCGCGCACCCGCCTCGCACTCACCTCCCTCTCCTCCTCCTCTCGCGGCTGGCGGCCGCTATCACTTGTCCTCGCCCTCATGACGACGTCTCGCGTGCTCCGTTTCGACCCTGAGGGGCGTGCGATCGACTTTAGTACCTGGCTGACGCAGGCCCAGCGCCACCTTAGGAGCCAGCGCCAGGATGGCGTGCACCTGTTTGCGCATGCGTCCGGTGCTCTGCCCGCCCCGCCGCAGCCTTCACCGCTGCCCACTACCCCACCGCCTACTTCCGAGCAGGAGGCTGAGTACCAGCGCCGGTTCCTCGCTCGTGACGTGTGGGAGTCTCGTGACGCTGCTGCCTGCCTCGCCCTGACCGACCTTCTCCCGCCGACTGAGGCTGTCCACTTCACTCAGGTCGAGTCTGCTGCAGACCTTTACACTGCTATTGTTGCTCGCTACTCCACTCCCTCCTCTGCCTCCCTCAACCGCCTCCTCGTCCCCTTTATCTACCCTGACCTCGCCTCCTTTGAGACTGTTGCTGACCTCGCTACCCACCTGCGCTCCCTCGAAGCTCGCTTCAAGGCCGCTTGCACTGAGGAACAGCTTGCCCTTGCACCCCCCCCATGTGGCTCACTATTCACCGGTTAGTCACTCGCCTCCCTGACCCTCTAGCCACAGCCCGCGACGCGCTTCTCCTGAAGCACCCCACTGAGCTTACTATCGATCTTCTTGAGACCGCTCTCTCGAAGATCGAGAGTAACCTCCTCGCTGTTGCCTCCGCCTCTTCCGCGCCTCCTCCTCGTCTCTTTGAGGGGTGTGCGGTACCACAGCTTCCCACCTTCACTGCCTCGCTTGCCACTGCCGCGTCTTCTGCCTCTGAGGAGACGGCGGCCGTTTTTTTCTCTGGCGGACAGAAACGTGGCAAGTCCGGCAAGAAGGGAGGGAAGGGCGGCGGGGATTCTGGGGGTGTTGCGGGTGGCGGCGGTGGTGGTAGTACTAGTGGCGGGGGTGGCGGCGGGGGTGACTCGGGACCTGACGGCTCTCCTCTAGACGGTGGTGAGGGGTTTTCGCAGCAGCAGCAGCAGACTCCTCCGCAGCTGCCACCGCCTGGACAGCAGCAGCGGCAGGGACAGCAGCAGCAGCGCCAGGGCCAACAGCAGCGTCCGCCTCAGCAGCAGCCCCAGCAGTGGGGCACTCTGCAGCAGTGGGGCACTCAGCAGCAGTGGGGCCCTTTGCAGCAGTGGGCCCCCCCGCAGCAGTGGAGACCTACGGGCCCCCTGAGCACTGGGCGTAGTGGTGCCCCTTCTAGTCGGGGACCCCGCTCGGCCGGCCGCGACGTTGGTCCCTGTGAGTACTGGATCCTGACGGGTCCGCGCAGGGGCACGTACTGCGGCCGCCCTGACCACTCTGCTGCACGCTGCTTCAGCCGTCTTGACGACCTGTACGTCCTGCACCACGGTCCCTCCGCTCCCCCGCCACCGCGCTAGGGACCACTCCTTGCTCGTGGTGTTGCTGTGTTTGATATGTCTATGGATGATGCTAGGTCTTATGCCATGTATGCTGATGTTGACTATAGTGCTGTCGGATCTGTTTACTTGCCTGTACCTAGCGTAGGATCTTTGCCTGTTGCTAGAGTAGGTGCTGGTGTAGGATCCTGTCTAGCTACTAGTACAGGTGCTCCCTCGGCGGACGCGTCGCTCTCCTTCACACTGGACTCCGGAGCGACGCAGTGCTTCTTCCGCGACAGCACGACTCTTACTCCACTCTCGGCGGCGGTTTCTGTAGCACTGGCCGATCCCTCTTCGGGACCGGTCATTGCGACTCACGCCACTACCCTCCCGTGCCCAGCTGCCCCTTCCGGTTCTCTGACCGGCCTCCACGTTCCTACTTTCTCTAGGAACCTGGTTGGTGTGGCTCCTCTGGCGAGGCAGCACGTCGGGGTCTGGTTTGAGCCTTCGGGTGACACTGCAGTCTGTGTGGACGGTGACACGTACGCCCCTCTGGCCACTTTTCGTCAGGAGCCGGGCTCTGGTCTGTACACCCTCCACACCGACACCCGTCCGGTTCCCCCGTCCCACCAGGTAGCCAGGTCCAGTCAGGTAGCTGTGCCAGGTCTAGTGGCCGCGTCGTGCTCGTGCCGGTCGCTGTCCCACCCTGCCCTCCTCTGGCACCACCGCCTTGGTCACCCATCCCTCTCTCGTCTCCGCGCTATGTCCAGTCAGCGTCTTGTCTTAGGCCTCCCCCGCGACCTCCCGCCGCTCCCGCCGTCCCCCGCTCCTCCGTGCGGTCCTTGTGTCCAGGGTCGGTTGCGCGCCACTCCTCACTCCTCCTCCCTTCGTCCAGCCTCCGAGCCCTTTGAGACACTCCACTTAGACGTCTGGGGCCCCGCTCCACGGCTTGGACCTGAGCGAGAGAGCTTCTTCCTAGTGGTCGTTGACGACTACTCTCGGTACACCACCGTGTTCCCTTTGGCGAAGAAGTCCGACGTGACTTCTACGCTGATCCGGTGGCTGCTCGCCACCGAGAGTACTCGTCGTCGTCGTGTCAGTTGTCTCCACTCCGATCGTGGGGGTGAGTTTCGCTCCGGCATTCTCGCCAGATTCTGTGCTGAGCAGGGCATCACCCAGTCCTGGACTCTTCCAGACTCTCCACAGCAGAATGGGGTTGCTGAGCGCCGGCTAGGCCTGGTCATGGAGATTGCCCGCACCTCCATGATCCACGCCCGCGCGCCCCATTTTCTGTGGCCCTATGCGGCTCGGTACGCCGCTCACCAGCTGAACCTCTGGCCTCGCGTCTCTCGGCCAGGGGCTTCACCGACCAGTCTTTGGACAAGGTCCCCGGGTGTTGCGTCGAGGTTTAGTGTCTGGGGCTGCTTGGCACTTGTCCGCGACACCTCTGCGGACAAGCTCTCACCTCGCGGCGTCCCCTGTGTCTTCCTTGGTTTCCCTGAGGCCTCCTCTGACTTCACCTTTTACCACCCTCCCTCCCACCGGTTCTTTGACTCTCGTGACGTCAGTTTCGACGAGTCCGTCCCCTACTTCGTCCGGTACCCCTGTCGAGGTCTCCCGGTTCCCCCCCCTCCCCTCTTCCTCGCCCCAGCTCCTCCTCCTCCCGCTCCCTCTCCTCCGGTACCCCCCCCCCGTTCCCGCTCCGTCAGGTGTGTCGCAGGCTACCCCCCCTCCCTTGGTCCCCCCCCAGGTCTCTCCTCCTTCCCCACAGTCGTCCTCACAGCCTCCGCAGCAGCCGTCGGCGCTTCCTCTCCCGGCCACTGCGGACTCTGAGGGTGTTGGTGCTCGAGGTGAGGGCTCTGGCGGTGCTGGTTCTGGGGGTGTTGGAGTTGGAGCTGAGCGTGCACCTGCCGCAG